CAATTTTTTGCTTTTGTGCAATACACTATGCTGTTGCGAAATTAACCCCCCCCCCCCAAAAAAAAAATGTACCCCCCTTTTTTTTGCTTTTGTGAAATACACAATGCTGTTGCGTATTGACCCCCCTCCCCCCTAAATTTTTTTTCACCTCCCCCCCCCCCCCCCCCCCTCCTCCAAAAAAAAAAAATCTTTCCCTCAAGATATGGTCATAATCTCAATTCAGATTTCCAATGGAGTTTGCAACCATAATTACCAATTTAAATACATCATAAAAGTCTTAAAATAGAAAAAAAAATCCCCCCCCTAATTTTTGAACCCCCTTATGATTCATCACCCCCAAACTCAATCCCAGCCTTCCCTTTGTGGTATGGTACCTTGCAGTACAATTTCAGAGAGATCCATACACTTGAACACAAGTTATTGTTTTGAAACTAGAAAAATGCTTGTTTTTTGCCCCTAATTCCTAAAATTTTGAGACAATTACCCCAAAAATCCATCCCAGCCTTCACTTTGTGGTATGGTACCTTGCAGTACAATTTCAGAGAGATCCATACACTTGAACACAAGTTATTGTCTGGAAACTAGAAAAATGCTTATTTTTGGCCCCTTATTCCTAAACGTTTTGGGCAATTACCCCCAAACTCAATTCCAGCTTTCCCTTTGTGATATAGAACCTTGTGTTACAATTTCAGAAAGATCCATACACTTACACACAAGTTATTGTCATGAAACTAGAAAAATGCTTGTTTTTTGCCCCTTTTTTGGCCACTAATTCCTAAAATTTTGAGACAATTGCCCCCAAAATCAATCCCAGCATTCCCTTTTTGATATGGAACCTTGTGGTACAATGTCAGAGAGATCCATACACTAACACACAAGTTATTGTCTGGAAGTTACAAAAATGCTTATTTTTGGCCCCTTTTTGGTCCCTAATTTAACTGTTGGTACCATGTGACCCCCAAAATCAATCTCAACCTTCTTTTTGTGGTATTGAACCTTATGGTAAAATTTCTTAGAGATCCATTCACTTAAACTAAAGTTATTGTGCGAAAACCAATGTGTCTTCAGACGACGACGACGCCAACTTCATACCAATATACGACTGCAAAAATGTTCTGCTGTCGTATAAAAATAAGGAGATGTGGTAGGATTGACAATGATACAACTATCCCTAAAGGCTAAAGATCAAAGATAATGAATAAACTAGATATCATTGAGATGGGAGCCATCTCTGGGCCCCGCTGTAAATAATGTGTGGTAAAAAATTTGTATCTTTATCATTGGACATGGGGTTGTCAACTGAAACCAAAGTTTTTGACCTTCACCTTTGACCTAGGAAGTTGTACATAAATTATGACACACCCTCTGGTGTTGGTTTATATACATGTCAAGTATAAACTTTGAAATAACGGTTCTCAAGATATAGAGCGGAGTCACGATCTTTACCATAGGACATGGGGTTGTCAACTAGAACCAAAGTTTTTGACCTTGACCTTTGACCTAGGAAGTTGTACATACATTATGACACACCCTCTGGTATTGGTTAATATACATGTCAAGTATAATTTTTGAAATCATAACGGTTCTCTAGATATAGAGCGGACACAATTTGTTACGGACGGACGGACGGACAGACGGACAGACTCATCACTATAGGGTGTCCTCCATTCGGCGGGGCCCTAATTATAGCTTATCATGGATTTCAATACAAAAGAAAGATCACCATTTAACTTTGAAATACCATTAGGTACTAGTAGTTATAATGTTTATTGTTAAAGACTGTATTTTGACATTTTCATATCTTTCTGGTTTTACTCTATTGTTGAGTTGCTGTCACACTGTGTTTACCCAAAGGCCACATCTTCTTCAATCCCTATGAAACTGAGAGAGGTTGCTCAGTCTGACAAAGTGAGGAGGCTCGGTCAAAACTTTTGGGAATTGGTGGGGATATTTTTCCTACCATAAGTACCAAGTATCAGCTATAACTGGTACAAACTGAGTGAGGTGGCTCAGTTTTTTTAACATGTTTTTAACAGGGAAGGGGTATTTTATTTGTTTTTATCAAATTTCAATTGGGGATATTTTACTGTTTTTATCCAAATTTTAATTTGGGATATTTTACTGTTTTTATCCAAATTTTAATGGGGATATTTTACTGTTTTTATCAAAATTTTAATTGGGGATGTTTTACTGTTCTTATCAATATTTTAAATGGGTCATTTATTGTGTTTTAAAAGGGGCTGGGAGTTTTATTCATTTTTATCAAATTTTAATTGGGGATGTTTTACAATTTTTATCCAAATTTTAATTGGGGATATTTTACTGTTTTTATCCAAATTCAAAAAGGGTCATTTTATTGTGTTTTAAAAGGGACTGGGTATTTTAATTATTTTTTTTATCAAATTTTAATTTCGGGATGTTTTACTGTTTTTATCCAAATTTTAAATGGGTCATTTTATTATGTTTTAAAAGGGACTGGGTACTTTATTTGTTTTTATCAAATTTTAATTGGGGATATTTACTGTTTTTATCCAAATTTTATATGGATCATTTTATTGTGTTTTAAAAAGGACTGGGTATTTTAATAGGGGATGTTTCACTGTTTTATTCAAATTTTAAAAGGGTCATTTTATTGGTTATGATAACCATTTAAAATTGAAAATAAAAACTACAACTTCATAATGGCTCAATACTAAAAAAACTCCATATTTCATGTCAAAAAGTTTTGATCTTTTCAATGTTTGAAATTTTTATTCTTCCATGCCCGGTAAAATGTACTTCATGATTAAAAATCTTTTCCTCAACTAACAAACTTAACATAGGATATCTAACACGTAGAATATGCTAATATAGGTGGCTAAGGTTTGTATGGATTTGAGAGACATGGAGGGAGGGCGAAATAGGAAGAATTGAGAGGGTGAGGGTAGAGATGTATGTTCTTTAGGGAGAAAGAGGAAGAATTGAGAGGATGAGTAATATTGAGTCAGGTATGTAAAGATGTATGTTCTATAGGGAGAAAAAGGAAGAATTGAGAGGATGAATAATATTGAGAGTGTTATGTAAAGATGCATGTTCTATAGGGAGAAAAAGGAAGTATTGAGAGGATAAGTAATATTGAGAGTGGTATGTAAAGAAAGTAAGTATAGGAGGGAGTGAAAGATGGGAGAATGTTAATTTCTTTATAAGGGCTTGGTGTACTGGTTAAATGGAAGTGCAGTTTTCTCTTTTCCCTCATGTAGTTTCTATTTTCTTCAGAAATTTGTTAACATTTTAACTTCTGAAATTACTAAGCACTGTCTAAAAATTTACAAGTTAACAGCCTTTCTTGTAACTGATTATTTGCTGCTTTTATATAAACATTGTAGCACTTTTCAGTGACTAGATAGGGTTGCAGCTTTTCATCAATTTTAGCAGCATCCTCTTAACAGTTCAATATGTAGTAATATAGACACACTTTATAAATGTTTCCTTCATTCTGAGAAATTTTGCTTTCCAATCTTTTGAAATGCCTGCTCAGCATCTTTTTATGACTTTCTTTGTCTTATTCTTCTTTGTGCATCTTTGCTGTCAAGTTTGTTATTCATTCTCATCATATGGGTTTTATATCAGTCTAAAAATACTGTAATGTTTTGCAGTTATCTAATATTTCATGGTCGACTTCCAAAAGTAAAATTAAGTCTAAATTTTTTTTTATGACAATTACAAGGAGAATACAAATAAAAGAAGAATATGTTTTCCAAGTTAAAAAGAGGCATAACTCTAGAACAGTAAATGACTCACTGCCCAAATTCAAACTCTGTCTGCGTGTTGTGGTTCTTAGCATTGCGTACGGGTTTCATTTACATGAGGCAAACTTAAGAAAGAGTGCAGAAACAAAAATGGGATGGATGGAAAGACAGAAGGACGGACGGTCAGGGGTAACACTTAATTCCCTCTTCACCTATGGCAGGGGCATAAAAATAGGTCACTAAGACATTCTATTTACATGCATCATGTATATCCAAGCCTCTTTTAAACCGCCTTGGTGGTCTTGTGGTTTTTCCGTTTCCATTCTCAATTTTATGTTTCCTGCGGACTGGTTCATTCTGTAGGGTAAACTTGTTGTTCACATCCTTGTCCTTTGGTCTTTGGCAGAGTCCTCTCATTTGCAATCATATCACATCTTTTTTTTAATAATTTGACTACAGTTTTGGCTTTCAGCGGGTACAATTTATATGAAAGCTCATCTAAAGTGTCATTAGTTACTATTTTGACCATCTAAGTTGAAAAAATTAAAGTATAAAGTTATAATGGCTACAAGCATTTAAAAAGCATAATAAGTATCATATTGTTGAATACTGTGTATTGATCTCCAGATGTCTTATGGTTGTTTATTTTGATTGGTTACAGTCTCAATGACACACCTCTCCTTTTATTAATACATGCTGTAAATACTGTTTTTCAAGGATTCTTGGTTCTATCAAAACTTAATTTAACTTGTGTTATTGTACTAAGTCAAGAGAAAGGTTTCAATTCCATCAAGCAAATTGACCATGGGTGATTTTGAGTTTCCTGTTTAGGGTTTTGGGGTTTTTATACTTCATTCTATACATGTTTACCTGACTTTCCTAACTTTAAGTCTAGAGAGTTCATGATGAAAATTACTGTGGATTCATTAATTTTCTTAGGTTACAATTTTTGTTGATTGAGGAAAATTTGTATTTTCGTGGATATTTGATTTCATGGTTTTTCCAATACTTGCAAACAAGCCGATATAAAATTTGTATTTCATTGGACATTTAAATCTATGGTTTTCCTTTACTCATGAAATCAATGAAAATTGGTATCCCACAAATAATAATGAATCCACAGTATTCTAGAATCTTGTGTTGTGTGCAGAAATCAATGTCTTTTTTTGTTTAATTTAAAATCATTCACAAGATAAAATCCTGAAATCAAAACATAGACATATATTTTTCTTATCAGAGGTTATAATGTGGCTAATAAAGCATAAGGAAGAGTCATTTTAAATTTTTTTAATTTTGTCTTTTTATGATTTGAATCTTGACAATGAATGATATTATATACAATATGACAAAAAAAATGAAGATGTCGATATAAAATGATGTTGCTATGGAAACACATGTAGGTGGTTCTTCACAGTGATGTCATGAGATCAAATGACTTCTACATTTCTGGTCCTTCACCACCAGGTATAAGCTGAAGAAAAAAAAATGGAGAGGAGTATATACACAGATTATAAATGCCTTAAAAATACAGAAAATTTGATATTTTTAGAACTTTATTCTGTGAAAATATCTTTATATTGAAATGTCTTGATAAAATGGAAGTTATTGTAATCAAATATTTAGGATTAAATGAGGATAACAGTCTGAGCAAGGTTTTATAGTCAAAATGTTTGAATTTTCCAATAAAGGTGTGATGCCTGCCTTCTCCAAATAATGAAAGCAGTCCATGTCAGTATGGGAAACTCTAAACTTCACGCAGATCTGGGTTGGACCCCCCCCCCTTTTATTTTGATAATCTATGCTTTTGAATGGGGACATATGGCTGGAACCCCCTTTTCAAAATGGCTGGATCCACCCCTGATATGCATAATGAACTTCTTCCCAAATAAACTAGTAAGTAAAATATAATGAAGGAAATAAAGTAATTAACTCGCCACTTTCAATTTTAAAGAGTACCATCCCAACAAATAGACCACTTTCAAGCTATGTCCTTCACAGGAAAAGTTCTTCAATTATGCACGCCTTTTTGACTTTTTGACGTCAGTTACCAGATAAAGGGATTTCCTGTATCCCTGCACTATTAAAGTTTATCAAATGCCTTCGTGATCGTCATTATGCAGGATAAACTAAAAATAATGATTGTTCCGTAGGTACTTATCACAATTCCCTATTAATGACAGCATTGCTGATTATCAAATATAAGAATTTAATTTGTTGAATACAATGTTATTCGTGCAATATAGCATATATTTTTCAACCTCTCGCTCAACATGGGAAGGAAGTCACGATGCCCCTTAACGCATGAATGATGTTCACTAAAACCAAAGTTTTTGACGGAAATGCAACGAACTCAAAGTGGTCTTTTATGGAAGAATCACATGGGATTTTCATTAAATTAAAAATGCTTATAAATTTCACTTATAATTACTAAAGAACTTAGAGGCACAGATATTAATACTAACCATAGTAATGTTGTTTCCATTCAGAAGAATTTGATCTAGCTTAGTAACTCGTCTTCCTTCTGGTGTGCTTTCACTGAATAATATTATGGAAACTTTAGGCATTTGTCTTCATTAATGTATTTCTCTCTACAATCTTAAATAGTGACTTATCTTTCTTTCAAACTTGTCATTATTGCAAATAAATATTCATATGGAATAAATTTTCAAAGGGCAAGGTTCATTAGGATCTGGAGAGGGTGTCTTTATTTCTCTATTTCTTTAATTTTTAGGCCATTTTTTTATCAATTCTTTATTCTATTTGCCAATTAATTTCTAATCTTTATATTTTAGCACCTCATTATTCTCTAATCTTTATTTTGAATGCCCAATATTCTCTTTTCTGTAAACCACATCTAGACCCTTGTTCATAAAGCACAACTTCTGGTCATATATTTTGGCTACATTCAAAAGTTACTAGTGTGATGTTTAATTGCAGTCTTTTGCTGTAGGATGGGCTTTTTGAATTAAAATTCAAGGTTGGCATATTTATAAAATGTCAATACACAATGCTAAGACGATATACATAAATTGTTCATTGATCACCTAAAACAATAAAAATATGTATTATTTGGGGAAAATTTTTAATTCATTAAAATAAATTAATTTCATAATACATTCAACACAAAATACTAAATTGTTCATGAAAATAAATTTCATTTTGTTTATATATTTTATATAAAGACATTCCCTAACAACTAAATTGTTAAATTAAACATAAACATTGTTTATTTACACCACACTATTATACTTTTATTTTAGGACCTAAACATAATATCCATGAACCAGCATCCCCTTTTTACTTATCATTGTACAAAAGAAAAGATTTATCGCATTGCAATGCCTGGTTGAGAGAGGCAGAGCAACAAAGACAGACAGCTATAGTATACACTGATAACTTTCACGGTAACAATAAAAATTTCATATAAAAAAACCTAACTCAGACACTTATAAGGTGTGACATAATCTTAAGTAGAGAAATCAAAAAGTTCAAATGTATACATGTATATCTACAAGGAATCTTCAGCACAATTTTGTGATTCTGCAATGTTCATTTAGCCTCTGATTTTGTAACTATAAAAGCATACGTTCGATATTTCATTGGAAAATCTAATTTTTCTCTGTGATGTTAAAATTTTTAGCCATACTGTTTGTTAGACTTAACCATTAAATGTGTGTGTTAACTCCTCATTTTGAACATTAAGTACTAAACTAGATTTTTTTTAAAGGTATTTCTCTGAAAAAATACTTACAATTCTGTTACATCTTCTAATACCATATCTGTCATACTGTTAAGGATTATTCTTCTCACTTGGTTGCAAATAGTGATGTTTGTACATGGAAGTACATACATGTAAAGAAGTGGACATAACACTAGTTCAGATAATTATCAAACTTTTGAAAATATCCAAGTTAGATTTCATTTGGAAACAAAGATGACAAGAGAATGTATCCAAAACTATATACCTCTGCTACTTGGTACCATGGGATATAATAATAGACCACTTATCCTTAACATAATATAATATTATTATCATAATAATGTCATGATATATCTGAAAACTTTGGTAACTGTACCTAATAACTACAAAAGACTGTGAGCAGAACTAATTATTTATATCCCCTGTGCCCATTTACATTGTAGTTAAAATATTGCATGCAGTCCATGATTTGATAAGGTAAACCCCAAAAATTATATGAACCAAAACGTAAGGGACTAAAGATATTCTGCAACTATACACAAAAGCAGAAAGTTGCAGATACAAATTGCAGGCTGATGAATGAACAGACCAAGTAACGAAAACAAAATAAATTTCACAATGATCACTGTACAATCTCACTTCCCAAAGCAGGGTATATTATAAATCTATTTCAGTATTATATCATCATACCAAAACAAAAAGTTTCAAGTTGCATTATGTGGATATAAATGCATAATTGAACTATGACAATATGACAGAAATAGGATAATTTTCCCAATGAGTTAATTGTGCATTTGTGTTGTAACAATATACATACATGAACACTGATAAAACAGACACTAATATAAATATAATTCTAATATATAAAAGACAATAATAATTATCTCCCTTTTTTTAAAAGTTTCTCCTTTGATAAGGTTGTAAATGTAATTTAATCAAAAAGGGATAATAAGTAAGTCTCAAGCAATTGATAAGCTTTTATTGTAGATCTTCATTTGAATCTGTTTACATGTATAATCAGCTCATTGGGTAGGTCAGTAATAATGAGATGTTGTCATCATGAGGATAGCTTGATACATGATCTTCCAATTAGTGCTTTTTGTCGAGCCTTCGACTTTAGTCGAAAAAGCGAGACATAGCGATCCTACATTCCGTCGGCGTCGTCGTCGTTGGCGGCGTCCACAAATATTCCCTCTGTGGTTAAAGTTTTTGAAATTTTAATAACTTTCTTAAACTATCCTGGATTTCTACCAAACTTGGACAGAAGCTTGTTTATGATCATAAGATAGTATCCAGAAGTAAATTTTGTAAAAATAAAATTCCATTTTTTCCGTATTTTACTTATAAATGGACTTAGTTTTTCTGCCGGGAAATATTACATTCACTCTGTGGTTAAAGTTTTAAAAAATTTAATAACTTTCTTATACTATTTTGGATTTGTACCAAACTTGGACAGAAGCTTGTTTATGATCAAAAGCTAGTATCTAGAAGGAAATTTTGTAAAAAAATAAATTCATTTTTTCCGTATTTTACTTTTAAATGGACTTAGATTTTCTGCCAGGAAACAACACATTCACTCTGTGGTTAAAGTTTTTTAAATTTCAATAACTTTCTTATACTATTTTGGATTTGTACCAAACTTGGACAGAAGCTTGTTTATAATCAAATGCTAGTATCTAGAAGGAAATTTTGTTTTCTTCCAGTTAACATTACATTCAGTCTGCAGTTAAAGTTTTTAAACATTTATTAGATTCATAAACTATCCTGGATTTTTACCAAACTTGGACAGAAGCTTCTTACAATCAAAAGATAGTATCAAGAGGAATATTTTTATTGATTTACTTCCTCATTTTTGTTGAGCCTGCGATTAACAGAAAAAGTAGGCGAGACACTGGGTTCCGCGGAACCCTTACGAATTTTTCATGTAAGAAATTTGACATCACAAAGCAAATATCTTCACGTCAAAATGACATTTTTTCTTCCAAAATTTCCCAGGTCATACGGGGCAATTCATTCATAAAATCTAAATTGGAATCTGATCTATTCTTGACATTTGTCTTGAATTGGTTGTTTCAGACACGTTGGTAAAAGACATAGCCCATGATTTCGGTAGTTTTTCTTTTAATTGGTCAAAAGGATACTGACATAATCATCAAAACCAAGTAAAGTTCCAACTATTTCTTTATCATTCTTCATCACAATGTGGATTCGAGATCCTATACATTTGTCTACCAGTTCTGAAATGAGAAAATAATTTGAACAGTTAAAGCTACATCACAGGGTATATACATGCTCACAAAGTTTGATTCCAAACAGAAAGCCCTGATTTGTATTTATGAAAATTGCACCAAAATTTTCATACATGGTCATTATGTGTAAGAATATAAGTTAAACATTCAGCTGTTGAGCAACGAATCTAAAAATGGATCACACAGTATAACATGTAGCATGCTCACATGAAGCTTAACAAAATTAAGGAAGCTCTGATTTGAATTTCCTGAGAAAAATGTGACAAAAATTTCATATGATGGACAGACCTACAAAATGTAAACCAGTAATTTACATACCCCTGAATTTGAGGAGAGTTATAATAAGTTGATTAGTTTTCTATATAGCTAATTATTTATAAAGGGGTTTCTAGTGACAGCTACAGCTATGAACAGTATATTTATCACAGGAGATGAGGAGTTCAACTTCAATGAGAAAGCCATCCAACTATAAAACCCCCCTTTTTATATTGGTATCACGTTGTCGTCGTCAGCATCTTCCGAAGACATTTGGTTTCCGGACAATAACTTTAGTAAATGTAAATAGAAATCTATGAAATTTAAACACTAGGTTTATAACCACAACAGGAAGGTTGGTTTTGGGGGTTATAGTCCTAACAGTTTAGGAATTAGGGGCCAAAAAAGTGCCCAAATAAGCATTTTTCTAGTTTCCAGACAATAACTTGTGGAACGGTGTATGGATCTTTCTGAAATTATACCACAAGTTTCCATACCACAAAGGGATGGTTAGGATTGGCGTTGGGGGGTTATGGCTCAAACTGTTTAGGAATTAGGGGCAAAAAAGGGGGAAAAACAAGGGTTTCCTGGTTAATAGACAATTAAAAAAAGTACAATGTTATGTTTGGATTACCTCCCTTACACTGCTTTTAAATTATGTATAAAGAAATGTTGTATTGTCTTGAGGTGATAAGCTGTCAATTTATTTTTAGAAGTTACTATTTAAAAATGCTGATTACTTACTTACTTAATCCTCTTCGTGCTTTGATGCACATAGGGCCGTAAAAAATGCTGATTAAGGAATATTAATTTTAGCCATGATTATGTGTGTCATTTTCTATTTTAAGACTTTTATGATGTATTTAAATGGTAATTATGGTTGCAAACTCAATTGGAAATTTGAATTGAGATTATGACCATATCTTGAGGGAAAGATTTTTTTTTTTGGAAAAAGGGGGGGAGGGGGAGGTGAAAAAAAAATTGTGTGTGTGGAGGGGGGGTGGTTAAAAAAGAAATTGTGAGGAGGGGGGCAATTTTTTCTCATTTCAGATATTAAAAAGAAAATTTCTTCAAATATTTTACTTATACATGATGTACTAATAAAACCAATTATTTTTAAATAATTTTTTTCTATAATGTTACATATTTGTAAAAATGATTTTTAGATAAAATATTTTTCATAATGTTACACATTTGAAAAAATAATTGATGGCACAAATAAGATTCAAAATTATTTTATAAATGTAATTTTGATGAAATTAGTAATGAAGCGCTAGCGGTAGTAAGCAATAATAGGCCACAATTTTTAGAGTAGTTTATTGTGAACTTTTTATTGTGAAAATACATGGATGGTAACAGAGGGATTCAAACCAGTAACCTTGAGATCTAAAGACAGCCCTCTGACTGGTCCAAGGAAGATCTTCCCTAACTCGATCAGGAAGACTCCCCCAATATCTCCAATTATACAACACTCTTTCCCGCTCTGCTCATCATCCATATGAGCAGCCCACAGGTCAACAACTGGACAAACCCCAAGTCTTTTACTAGTAAAACATCTGGCTATATAGCTAGTTCCTTATAATTACATGTCATGATCATACCTTAATTATGACCTGCTCGTACATCATGACCATATCTATTCATCTGCCAGGTACTCGCAGGTGCTTTTAGAAGTTGCTTGCAGTGCCATTTTTGTTAAAATACATGTAGTGATGTACATGGTTAGATTCCTAGATAGTAGGTTTGAATCCCGTTGGTACCATCCTAGTTAAAATAGTTACAACATCTTGTATGATAATTTTTTTTTTGCTGTGACGCTTTCTAGGACAGGGCATTGTAATCATTTGGAATATGATTGTACAAAGGGGATTTGAACCTCTTGAGATCTAAGACTAAATGCAGCGCTCTAACCAATTTATAACCAATTTAGTCAAAGAACGTCTTCGTTAACTAAAACAGTTAGACTACCTTTAAATATCCAAGTATACAAAAATAGCTACTTATACAGACTCCAACTATTTCTGAGGTTCAAACTTTCTCTCTCCGGCAATACCGGTCTCGTTTTAATTTGATATGGTCATGGACATGGTTCGAAATTGTTCTGTTTTGGTACGAAATGACAAGCTCCGAAACTTACAACCTTATTTGAAAGCCAGTTAAAAAAAACGCTAATCACTATCAGCTCTTAGCATAATTTACCAAGGGGAAGCAGCTGAGAAGGGTTTGAGAATGTTGTCATCGTAGGTCTCTCACATGTGAATTTGTTGACAAAGTAGTAAAGGCCTAAGAGAAAACGAAAGAAAAAGGGCTGTTTGACATCAAAATAAATTTATTCTCGGGGTTTGTCCTAATGAAGAATGTGGGATGAGTCATGGTAGTGAAGTCGAACACGCCTACTATGACAAATTCCACCGGAAGCTACGGAAATAACCGATGCCTACCGATTAAATAATTTTGATGGCCGAAAAAGATGAAGATGCTACACAATGATGCTGATTATTGTAAACAGCAATTAGAGCGTCTTATGGCCGAAAAGACATGAACAACCAAGAGCACAGGAAAGATGTGACAAACGAGAGAGAAGTGGAATGTTATTATCGCCCAGGTACATAAAAACAAAGAAAACTTTACTGTTTTTATATGAAGTTTATCTCGTCATGGTCCATTGCATGTTCCTAAATAAATGCCTAACAGTAAGATAACTGGATATTTCTCATGTAAAAAGTTTAGAATATAATAGTTTAAAAATTTAATGAATGATTTGTCTTCATGCTTAGCTTTATTAGAAATTTATTAGTTTGAATTTGATATTAACTTTTTGTCCAGAACAAAATAATTTATGAATATTGGGAAAACATGCATGAAACTGAAATGTTATCTATTCATTTGAGTTTGATCCTTAAACTGTATGTGTCCAGTGTGGAATATGGCAGTATGCCTGTTCTTTGAAAGCTCCCAAATCACACAGAAACTTATAATCAAGACGTTTAAATAAATGACGTCCCACATACCACACTAACGGCTCTGAACTAATTGCAGAGAGTACAATGCTGTATGGTAATTCTCTGTATATGTACAGTGCTGTTGTCTAATGTGATTCATGCACAATATTGAAACCAACCAAAGATTGAGTTACAACAATAAAGAGGGTAGTGAAAGTCAATTGCTTTGGTTTACTTTGCTCCTTCTAGACTTATGTCAAAATTTTCAGAAAAAAATCAGAGCTACATGTACTATGTACATGTGCATTAATGTTTATGTACATGTATGTGTTAACACAAAAGCTGTCTTCAGCTTTCAATCATAAATAATTGCATGATTTACTTAGTTTTATTATCATTTGTCACAAAGATTGAGAGATTGTTGTTTTTTTGTCCTACCCTTAATAACATTAAAAGTGCTGCAAATATTAAAGTTGATTTTTTATGCCCCCGCCATAGGCGACAGGGGCATTAAGTGTTACCCTTGACTGTCCGTCTTTCCGTCCGTCCCATTTTTGTTGCAAAGCTTGAGCGGGGAAATTCGTGTCCTCAGACACATTCTTCTTTTATTTAAATATATCAGTCTGCACCAAAATCTTTTCCAATTACTAGTCCCAAGACCACTATTCTGACATTTTTCTTATGTGTCTAAACAAAGTTTTACAAATACTTACTATTCCAAATAAAATTTTACTAGTCAAAAGCATCGGACTAGTGGCTAAAGGTGCAGACTGATATCCTTTACTAGAAGGCACCTCAGTAGCCAAGTGGTCTAAGTAGTTCCCCTACAGTGATCATCAGCCTGTTATGAGATTGATTCCCACTTTGGGCATTTGCCTCGAACTCTTTAATTTACTTGAATTGCCATTATTCCTGTCAAAGGTTACCTGTAGTGGTAGGGTACTGTACATGTGGCAACCTAAACCAAATGTAAACTGGTGCCATGTCCAATGTAGCCAAGTGTGATAAATACTTAAAGTAACATTTATCACCAACAAATGGCAACAATCATTCAATCCTTTATTTAAACAGTTCATTCTGTGCAAGGAACTGTATGGTCATACAGTGCTCTGTTGGAACTTGGCATATTAAAAACTAGCAAAAAAGTATTTGGTCTTCCTTATTTTAAATGATTTAGCAATTCTGTAATTTTCTAAGTTTCTTTGTTAAATTTCACAAGTGGTGATTTAGTTATATTCACCAGCAATATACTGGTGATTTGAGGAAGGGGCATCAACAACTCTGCAGCATTCTTGTTATATTTTATCTTCAACTTTAAAAAAAAATAAACTGGTTGATTGACATGATTTATGTTTGCTTAATGTCCAGCTGCAAATATTACATGCATATTGATTATTCAAGGAGAAGTATACATGTATGTATCGTAGTTTGTACATGTACTTGGCATACATGCTGAATTGAAATTTGAATGTTGCTGAAGAAAACTAATATGGTGTATTTAGTCATGACAAATGCTAGTGCACAGAATCACAGACCACAGGTGGACATTGTAACTCTGCCTAGATGCTATAAATATTCTGACTTTAAGTCAACTAGTCTTTGGAATAAGTCCTTTAGTTTCATATATATGCTTTGTGCAGGAGGGAAAAATACCAGTTTATCGATTTTAAAATGGTACTTATGTTTTTTTTTGGAAAAGTATTGAAAAAGGATATTTTTTAAATTCCTGCAATCTGTTTTCTGAAACTACTATGTATGTACAATGTACATTGTGAGCACCAAATTGAAATAAACATTTATTGCTATTTTTAATGAGTTTTATATAAGTATTGTTTACATCAAGACATATCATTGCATGTGGTCCCAGACAAAGATAAAATAATGAATTCTATTTTTGTTAAAATATAATATATATATTCCAGAATATATGAATTCTTTTTATTTTTTTCCATTTAGTTTATAATCATGATAATTAGTAATCTTCCAAGATATTGATCTTTGTAAATGAAAATTACTTAGACAAATGATTTTAAATATATGCTACACAGTGAGTGAGTATACTCCTTAAGTGCAAAATCTATTATTTTTCATTATGCTTTTTTATACCCCGGGATCATATATATTGGTCATGTGGTGATAATTATATATATATGCAGTTACAAAGTATGAGCAATTGAATGTGTATGAGTGAATAATTTTTGTGATCACTCAACCCTGCTTTAACCTGAGGGACAGTGGTGTCACAGCACAACATTAAAGAAACTGTAAAATCAGTTTGAGAAGGATCACTCATCAGATCACTGCTATAAGCACAAAAAAGAGCAATGACAGATTACACAAATTACCGATCAAAGAGTAATTGCAGTTACTGAATTTCAGAAAAGCTAGTTCAAACCCATTGAATTTCAACTAATAATGAATATCGTATTTGTTTTTCGTTTATTGTTTTGTACATGTACATAAACCAGACCGTTAGTATTCTTGTTTGAATTTTTACATTTGTCATTTTGGAGCCTTTTATAGCTAACAATGCAGTATGGGTTTTGCTCATTGCTGAAGGCTGTACAGTGACTATAGTTTTTAGCTGCTCCATCATTTGGTCTCTGGTGGAGAGTTGTCTCATTGGCAATCATATCAAATCTTCTTATTTTTATAACAAATCAACAATGTTTACCTAGATTGGCAGATTAGGAGTTTTAAAGGATCAATTATTCTTGATGACTTTTATAAACACTAGTTTTGATCTGAGGTGTAACTGTGTGTTCTTTAACCAATATTACAGTCTGTGTGCATCTTAATAATAAGGAACAAAAAACTACTTTATGTCTAGATTATTGTACAAATATATTTATCAATATGTTTAATATTTAAAAGTAATGATTCATATATCAGACTAAAAGAATTTCATCCCTTTTTACGACTCAAGGAAGTTCAAAGTCAATTGGATAATTTGTTAAAGGTACAAATATGACAGTTAAATATTCTTGTTATTGCTTAAGGAAAGAAATGTGGTCTGCCAAAATGAATTTCAATACATCTTTGGTCAGGTTTAAGTACAATGTACATAAAATTATACAAATCTGTGTATTCCGAGAATTACAGAGTAAAGAAAATATTTATTTGTACATCAAAATTAATGTAAATGTGCATGTATCATTACTTTATGAAAATTGAAAAAAATAATTTCTCCAAAAGATTTTGTCATATAATCCCTAGAATGATCTGTTAATTATAAGGCCTTTTATTAAACATTTCTAGATTCCTGAATTATGTTTTTTAACAAAATATTTAAATACTAAAACTGTGTTATATTTTTATTATTTTAAGCAGAAATTGTAATTACTATTTGAGGTGCACATTTACATGTTTTGCCGTTTTTTTGTGAAACTTCCACAAAACAAAAATAACAATAGCCTGAAATCAAAACATTTTTTTTCTGCTTGAAATCTTTCGAAAATCTAGGATATTTAAGCCCCTGCGGCGGCAGAGGGGATAGTGTGCTTTACCCTTGTCCCTCTGTACGTCTGTCCGTTCGTATGTCCCAAATTATTTTCCCGTTCTCTAACTTTAGTTTGCCTCAACCAAATGTTATGATATTTATACACAATGCTTATTACCACCAAACACAGATCAAGTTTGAATTTGGGTGACAGTTCTCGGGTTATGTCTCTTTCTAAAGGAAAAAATTGGCAAATTTGCAGTTTCGGCAATCTTACTTTAGATTTCCTTTACCAAATGTTATGAAACTTATACCTAATGCTTAATACCACCAAACTCAGATCAAGTTTGATATGGATGGTGTCACTTTCATTGTTCTCGAGATACATTGTGTATGCCCCTTTATAAATGGAAAAATTGCTAAATTTGCCATTTCTGCACTTTAACTTTAGTTTGCCTCCACCAAATGTTATAAAACTTATACACAATGCTTATTACCACAAAACTCGGATCAGATTTGAATTTGGGTGGCGACACTTATACTGTTTTATATTGATGCCCCTTTATATTTGAAAAATTGCTTAATTTTTCGTTTCCGTTCTCCAACTTCAGTTTTCCTCAACCTGTCAACCAAATGTTATGAAACTTATACACAATGATTATTACCACAAAAGTCAGATCAAGTTTGAATTTGTATGGAACGCCGGCACTGTCTTATTATGACATTTCTCATTATATGATGTTCATTTGCCATTATATGATGTCATTTTACCCTTATATGATATGCAAATGACATTATATGATGTGCACTTATCCTTATATGATGTACACTTGTCATTATGTGATGTGAACTTGTCCTTATATGATGTACACTTGTCATTATATGATGTGAAGTTGTCCTTATATGCTATCCAAACACATTTATATGAGGTGCAAACATCTTTATATCATGTCCACAATTCATTAAATGATGTACTTTTTCCATTATGTTATGTGATTGGGTCCTTATATTATGTGATGCTTTCCTTATACGATGTAGAAACGGCATTATGTGATGTACAATCACCTTTATACGATATGCAATCACCTTTATATGATGACAATTTGACATTATCTGATGTGCAAATTATATTATATGATGTGCAAGTTATATTATATGATGTGCAAATTATCTTATATGATGTGCAAATGGTCTTATATGATGTGCAAATTATCTTATATCATG